TTTATCGAATGAAATTTCGCATTTTTATAAGAGGTAACAAATTTGCACAGGTGAGTGTGAACACGAGACATCCTAATACAGCTTGGGTTATAGGAATTACAATCCGCAAGGAACAGTTCGGTAAAATGTGCCCGCTAAATACGGCAAGTTAATTTGGTACGGATATATGTGTATGATGAACGCACTGGTTGCACTTAGAGTGACGAAAATCTATGAGACAAGAGTGTATTAACTATGTAACCCGTAGGAAACAAGATGTCCGAAGTGAGTACCTTGGTGTATAACTCATATACAGATGTGCTCTCATTCACTGGAACATCGATATGCTCCGACGGTGACGTATACTTTCCAGTGTACGCATTACTGTAACCTGACTTTCGCGGATGTGGGATTGTCTTGTATTTTATGTCTTGCGTAAAAGTTTTGGAAGCGTATAGGTTCCATTTTACGGTGGAACTGCTGAAACTCTTTGGGTTGGAGTATGTGCTACATCCAAGCAGCACAAAGCATTTTAGAGGACAATAGCCCTGAAAGCAATTCAGAAGCATTGATTTCATTCACACTCCCCCATCGAACCGCTGTTTGCTAGTAGTCGGTTTTGTTGTCCCTATAGCAAACTTATTGTACCTCTAGTGTGGGTTGGCTGCGACAGATTTACCCAATGAGTTTATCCATTTAACTCTGGAAGTCCCTTTGTACCTCTTAGCTGAGCATTCCATCAGATCCATGGAGTGTCAAGTCCAACTCTTTTGGATTTTGTCTTCACAAAGTCAGGTGATTTTGTAAGACCTTGTTTATTGCCCACTCACGTGCTAGTGATCACCTGTGCCTGTCATTCAACCGTCCCCTTATGGGGGATCACAACGAAAACCAGTAACAAAACGTCTTTCATACAACCGGAGAAAAGGCAACGAATTCATCCAGCATCATTTCCTCTGATGAGAAGATTCAGCAGAACTGGGATAATTTCAAGTCCTTCTCTTTGCCACATACAGCCCTCATTTCCCATCAGTAAGAAAGATGACAGCAATGAAGCTGCTATGGCTTTTTATATTCACAGTCCGTTAACAGACATTGTGCCATCAGAACTATGGCAGAAAAAAACAATAAAGAGAATAGAAACACGAAATGCGATAAGAAATGGAAAACGATTTTTCGGTTGTACACACGTTCCTTTGACTATTTTGTTTTGTTAGTGTTTTGTGTGCATTAAAGGGGATAAAATGGCAGAACAACATTGACGCCACTGATGTCTGTTGCGGGCCATAACATCCAATGTTTCCAACCACTGAGATTCAACATCTCGGTGTCTTCAACCTGGAAGACGGACTGGTCCGACTGCCGCCAAACTTGTGGTTGCCTTCTTCATGCTCTTCCACTTCATTGGCTGTCCACTGCGGCACTTTTTCCACTCTCTCCCTGGGAGTGCAAATAGCGCTCGACGTGGAAGGCGATGGGCTGGTATGCGCAAAACGTGTCCGGGCCAACGCATGCGATGTCGGAGAATAACCTTCTGAAGACTGGTACTACTGCTTCCAAGCACTCGGTCTTGGGCCACAGCGTTGCTTACTTGGTATTGCCACCACATCCGAGCAATCCTTCGTAGACAGCGATTGTCGAAGATTGACAGCCGCTTCATGTCTTCCGAGCGCATACGCCAAGTCTCACAGTTATACGAGAGTACTGCACGGACTGAAGCATTGTACACCCTGCCCTTGAACTTGAGACTGACATCACAACGACGCCATAGGTATCTCAGTTTGATGAATGCAATGCGGACCTTTGCAATCCGTTGTGAGACTTCATCCCCAACACCGCCACCAGCCGTGATGCAACTCCCTAGATAAGTTAAGCAACGGACTTGCTCCAGAACATGTCCAGCAATGGTGAGCGCGGGTTCAGGCACCTGCCAGTCCTGGTGCAGCGTTTTACATTTTCCCGGAGTGAAGCATTAGCCGTAATTAAACGTCTCCATCGCTAAGCGGTCCAAAACGCTCTGGACTGTTTGTCGGTCGTCACCCAGCAAGGCGATATCTTCGGCGTAGTCCAAGTCCGTGACTCTGTCTCAGAGATGAGCTCAATACCTCAGTTCTGGACACCTTCCAGTGCTTCTTGGGGGATATCTTTGATGACAAAATTGTAGAGGAATGATGAAATAAGGCAACCTTGGTCACAGCAAAGGAAGAAGAGAGCGTGCCGTAAGCCCTGACTTTGCCTGACGTGCGACTGTAAAGCTCTTTCAAGATGGTTACAAACTTGTCGGACACACTTTCCTTCAGTAAACAGTTCCACAACACAGATCTATCTACTGAATCGAATGCCGCTCAGATGTCAAAGAACACTACGAATGTTGGCCGCCGGTAGATGTGACATCGAGAAGTTGGCGGAGCGTGAAACTTTGATCGTTCCAGTCGCGACCTGGACGAAAGCCTGGTTGTTTTTCTCGGGAAAATTCCATTCTAGTCGTTGAAAGCCTGCGATGTTATACTGACACGAAGATTTTGGTTACGACAGCGATTAACGAGATTTCGTGGTAGTTACAGCAATCGTTGCTGGAACCTTTTTGTGAATCGGAACAATGACCGATTCTCCAAGCCTTCGTGAACAGCGATAGGATTTCGCTAACAAGTACACTCCCGCCATCATTGATTAGAGCCGGTGTTAGGCTGTCGGAACCAGGAACTTTGTGACGTTTCAAAGCTTGGATTGCATATCGGACCTCTGCTTCATTTGGGGGGGGGGAGGCTGTGTAAACAGGCCAAACATCATTCGTTGTGGCTGTAGGTGCCACAGGGGGCTGTGTTGGATGGCTGAATTGAAGAGCGAAATGCTCTGCCCCGAGACCCAATCGTCTGTGAAGATTGCTGAAATTCGTACCGTCTGATTCGCAAATCGTCTGGATGATAGCTTGGGAATTGCAACCGGTAGCCCTGTTGATGCAAAATAGACGACGGAAGTTGCCAGCTGATGCAACAGTATCCATCCCCTCAGCTCGTTTTGGCCACCATGATTCATGATCAGAACGAAGGCTTGCTTTCGACTATTGCGCAATAGACCGGCGGTGTTCCTTTTGCTCTGTGCCATCAGGCACCGCTCGTCGGCGATTCAGCAATTCCCAGGATCTTCCTGAGATCCAGCTTTTGGGAGTGGAACAAGCGACGCCACAGCTGAACAAACCTGCTGACAACATGGCTTGTTGCAGACTTGACCTCTGTTGATCAACATCTAGAGTGGGAGAGAGGGCATTTCACGAGGCCTTTGTTGATGCTCCTTCTTCACCATTGTGTCCTCCAACTTGTAGGTCTTAAATCGGGTATGTTTGGATCTAGGTGAACCACCGATACGCATGCAAACGGTAGCACATACCAGTGCATAATCGGTATCGACGCATGCTGACCAAAATGATCCGCAGTCCCTTGCGCTGCCTCACCACCTGCGACTTATGGCTATGTGGTCAATCTGTGATCAACGCTGGGTTGATGATGGCTTGCGCCAAGAGGCGTACTGGCGTCCAGGATGATGAAAGGTCGTGCTGGAGAAGAAAAGCTGCTGATCAGCACACAGACTGAGCAGCCTCTTTTCTTTGTCTGTGCGAGGTGGCGTTCAAATGGCAGCAGCCAACCGACACGCGCGTCCAAGTCTCCTGCCAAAACAATGATGTCTGTTTTAAGAGCCTTTAGAAGCAGCTCATGCAGTTTCTGGTAGAACTGATCTTTGACTGTGTCCGGGCTTCACTCAGTGGGCGCATTGGCAGTGATCACAAAGAGAGCACACTTGTCGACTCGACGTCTGCTAACTTTACAAGAGCCATGGGGCCTCATGGATAAGTTTGGTTGCACGTGAGTTGCCCAACTAATGAACTAAGTGTTGGTAAACTTGTTTGTCAGGCCCTTCGGATGGGAATTTCTGACACCATCCAGAAGTAAGAAAATTGTTAATAATAAGAATGTATATTCTCTGATTTACGAGCTGCTTAGCTTCGTCATGAAACGGAGCTGGCTAGCACTGTAACCACAAACAAAGCGAATTTTCGATTATGTTTAGGATTTTGGCGACTTGGACCAATTGTACATTGGTGTAATACAAACAAAAATTATTGCTTAGAAAGTCCCGTGGAATGAGAAAAATCGAGCGCGGAAATGATGATCAAATGTAGGCGTTTTTGTGGGCTCGCCAGTGTTCGCATTGAGACATGCGTAGAGCCGAGATGTTCATATGATATTAAGTATTAATGCACTTCGTTGGAATTTTGGAAACACACCGTTTGGTTGCCCAGATTCCAAGTCATTGTTGCCCAAATGGATCAAGGCGTACCTGCTCCTTAAGTCGCATGCTGATACACTTATTTAACAGATTTATTTGCTATATGCTGATTTAACGATAAGAGCTCAAATCTGAATCCTTTCTTATTGTAACCCCCCGTATTGGAGGCTCAGATTCTGTTTCGCTGGTGGGAGATCATTCTTACTAACGCTGTTGGCATGTGTTAATCACTTACGACACCACTTACCATGATACAAACGTGCTAAACCATCCTGCGTGTTTGACGAAGCAATATTGCTTTTTCGTCTTCCGCGACCTTTTATGAAACTGCCGCATTTCCCTTACCACTGGGGTTGCTCAATAGGTGCACTCATCCAGCAGCGTCAGCTGCAAATACCCCTTTGACATGTCACAACACCATATGTCACACTTGTCATCCACAATGCTTCACAGGTTCATACTATGGTTCCCGTATGTCCCAATAATAACTGTTTCCAACGCGATATTCAATTTTGCGGAAAATCTTTTAATTGTCCTATCCTACTCAGACCTAACAGCAAATGGAACCTGTAAATCATTAGTTTTTTGAGTGACAGATAATTGTTCCATTGTGTCTGTTTACCAGTTATCACCGCCTAGCCATCGTTGTCACCATCTTCCGATCACTTTGTTCATGAAATGCCTGCACCCAAGATGACTGAGGAATGTACTGGTTTCCCCTCTTCCTTTAATCGCAGATACTTCCTCGGTACGAATCCGTCCACGTTCACTTTCAGGATTGTGGAGGAGCGCACTATTATGGGGTTTACATTCGCTTCAACATTCAACAATCTTTGCGCTAACAACGGAGCAAGGTTGTACGGCAGTCTCGAGCCGGATGAACGTGAGTGTGAAGGTTTGACTGCTTGGCCAGTGGTGATCGAGCCGGAGTTTAGCGCTCCCTATGGGGAAAACCACTCACACAACGAGTTATGACAGTTTCCGGTCGTGCCGAATACACTTACCAATCTGCTGTACCGGTGCTTTTTGTTCAGTAAACATTTCTGAATCGGGTGACATTTAGAATGACGTACATTGTTTTTGAAATCAGTTCCGGACTAGAGTGCATGCTTTCCCGGTTTACAAGCGTGTTTGGAATTGCCATTCTAAAGAGTTGGTGCTCAGCTAGTACAGACGCGGATGTTGCATCCACAAGACCATTGAAGTTATCCACGGCGACCACGTGCCGTGTTAATCAACGGTTGTCAACCGAGCGCGGTGGATAGACCGGTCGATTTGAATTACTGACCTGCCTTCCACCAGCTGATGACCGGCAAACGCTTGTAAGGCTATCTGCATCTAACATTAGGCAGCAGGACAATGGTTTTATACGCATAATAGCTCTAATTCTTAACAAGTCTCGTAGTATGGTGAAAATATGTAAATAAAAATAATCGTTATCAAAATTGGGTTTACACCAGTGCACGCACTTAAACGTAGTATAAACTGTAAATCCAAGGCAAATCGATAAGGAATGACGGGGAACGGAATGTTGGTAAAAATCGTGTCTCCTGCTGGTGTACACATGCAGGAGGTGAAAAAGTGGAACGAAATCTGGGATTTGACCGCCAGTGAAATCTCTTACAGACACTTGTGTTTATCCATGGGTAATGAGTCATGTAAGATGGTGCAGCGAAATAAGTGCACGGTCAACTCGGGCTTTGAACTCTGCCAGCGTGGGAGCACATATGACAGATTCCGGTAGGGCATTCCACGTTCTGCAAACGCGTACGGAAAAGAAATTCCGACGGCATTCCAAACGACTGTGCTGCTCTGCCAGCTTGAGATGGTGACCTCTCAAATTGCTGTTGTGACTGAGCTCTAGCAAGTAGCGGCACGTGTGGTTGGGATCTCTCAAAATTTGGTAAGTCAAAATGAGGTCCTCGCGCAATCGCCGATACTGTCCGCTGAAGACCGAGCACTTGAAGCCTACGTTTATACGGTAAAGTATACAGACCGTTGACATTTTTGGCTGCCTGGCTGTGAGATCTCTCCTCAGCCATGGCTGCCAGACCTGTATTGCGTATTCTACACGTGGCTGTATGTATGAGACGAGGAGTTGTGCTAAAATCGAATAGTCGAATCTTCGGAATACACGCTTCAGGAGGTCCACATGTTGGATACCCCTATTAGACGCCGTTTCAGCCTGCTTCGAACATCCAATGTCGACCTGGACCAAAACACCCAGATTCTTCTCGTCAGGAGACGTTTGAAGCTCCTGGTTGCCGAGTTTGTAGGAGTGCAACAACATGTGCCGTAGGTTTAGCACTACATTTGTCCACATTATATCGAAGTAGACTCTGAATTGACCACGCGTATACCCTGTCCTGATGAGCTTGAAGTACTTTGCTATCATCTGGTGTATTGATCTTCCTCCACACCTTGATCTTATCTGCATAAAACAGGCCGTTCGAGCTTATGAGGCAGGCGATATCGTTAATATACGTCAAAAATAATCGCGGTCCAGGTACCCATCGCTGTGGCACTCTCCATTCAACTACGATGGGACGTGACAGGGATTCACGCACTCGTACTTCCAAGCACCGGTGTAGAAGGAGAGGATTATCAATATCAAAGGTATGGAGTTTGACGGGCAGAATGTCATGCTCTAACCGGTCGAACGCCTTTGAGAAGTCGAGAAAGACTACATCAACTCCTGTGCCAGAGTCTACTGCTTCAGTCCAGCTGGATCGTGCTAGTAGTAGATTTGTACTGCACGATCAGTTTCGTCGGAAGCCATACTGTTCCGTTGTGTGTTAGTTAAATTCTTCTAAGTAGGCCGTTAACGCATCAAAACAATAACTTCCATGGCCCTTGGAAGAGCCGGTAGTAAGATTATGGGACGGTAGTTGGTTGGATTGGAACGACTACCTCCCTTGTGAATAGGAATAATCATCCCGTGTTTCCACATTCCGGGCACGTACATTTCGTCAAAACAGCGTTGGAATAAGCGAGCTAAAGGCTCAGCTAAACTCTCTCCTACCGCCGCTAGCGATTTCGTGTGTATAGTATCAACTCCATGAGAGCTGTGCTTGAGCATACTCAACAGCTATTTTAGTACAGCTTCTTCCGTGAATAATATATGAGTCAGTTCTGTGGGTGAAACAACCATTGTCATAGGGTTATGTGGCCAGTGGTTGCACTGAAATATTACAGTATATTGTAGGCGCAAGATATTCGCCGCCTTTTTCTGAGTCCGTGTGAGTCCATCCGCTGTTTGAAGAGGAGAAATTCCTCGTTTCACCTTACATAGGCTGTTGACACGTTAACGCAAAAGCTTGTGATTTGAGGCCATACGCACTGTCAATTTCTGCTGGTACGCCATTCTATCCTCGCAAACAAACTGAGTATAGTGGTTAGGTTAGGTTGCATAGTCCATCCAGTTCTCTGTGCTGGGAGAGAGTTTGTAAATATACCCCGCTATACGCTTGTATGATTTGCTTCGCAGAAACGAGACCGTGTTTTTCGGATGGAATGTCTTAGGCGCTAATACTATGGCAAGCAGAGAGTTAAACTGACTGACGAAATGTTCCCATGCACTAGCTGGTGCCTCATCGGCCAGAAAGGTCCAGTTCGCTGTCTTACCTAGTCGAACTAATATGTCGTAGCGTATACTCGTTTTTGTTGCGTCGGCAATTTCCACGGGATATTCTGCATTGTAAATATATTCGCATAGTAGGACTACATGATCGCTGCGGCCCAATGGGACGTCAACAATCGCCCTCTCGACCATTACTCCCTCGCTGGTGGATATCCGATCCACTATCCAACTCTAGGCAATATAAGCTTTATGTACCCAAATGGGTGCATTTTAAGCAGTTTACATTATCAACTGTAAATTTACAAGAGGGTAAAATGCAAAGTTTACAAACGGATATGAAAGTGAGGATGCACTGTCATAGATCAATCAAGCAACGATCCCAAAACGTTGGACTAAATTTTCGTGATTTGTATGCATTGAAAACGGAAAAATTTTCGTAAAAATGTTTCTTCAGAATTTGTTTCAACTGACGGCTTATCTTTTTCTCGGAATCGCGTTAGATTGTTGTTGCTAAACAACGGGTAACTGGAGACAATCACTTGTAGATTGACTTTAAACTGTTCTCTGGGAGCTGCTTGGGATTCCAGAGCGTGCATGTTGAAATCGCCAGTAATGAGAATGGGACTGTAAGTTGTGTTTATTACCCGCCTTAGTGCGGATTCCAGATGGGAGTCCATCTCGGGCGTGAAGGAAAGATAGTGGTAAAAGACCGCCACCAAGCAGGTGTCATCGTCTCTTAAACGTAGACGGCATCGAAGGGAATGCTGTACCGTGCAGACCGGATCCGCTATGAACTCACGTTGGACGTTCCTACGGAAGTACAGAGCCACCTTTCCACCTTTGCTGGCTCTGCCGTGCCGAACAATGGGCATGCCCGGCAGTGCGATCTCCATGTCACTTATGTCAGGGTGTAACAATATCTCCGTTATAGCAATGAACTCGCGGGCTTTTGATCCTTGACGCAGCCGCATTTCGTACACTTTACTCAGTAAGCCTTGAGGGTTGGTGTACATAGAGGAAAGCTTCTCGGATGTCAAAAGCTGTTGGCTAGGAGCACATGAATTATGTGGATTTGTGCCGACCGAAGAGAGGCCGGCACCTAATCGTTTTTGGGTGAACTGCCAGTTCTTGATAGGAATGCAATCTGTTTTTGGTCTCACTTGTACCGGCGGTATGTAATCCATCGGCAAACTTCTCGATAGCTACGGGTTATAACGCACAGGTTTCTGAATCGCTGTTGTGGTTATTTTGAGTCGCCTGTGGTGTCGTTTCCGCGAGAGCAGCGGGTGGCTGCGGCTCTCTAACTGCTGTCCTCAGTCCAAGATCCGAAGTTATGGTGTTGTGTAGCAACTGTCAGCTACGGATTAACTTCACGGTCATCTGTTGCGTCTCCAGTGGTGTTCCACAAGGATCCGTCCTCGGCTCGCTACTGTTTTTAGTCTACATTAATGAGCTTCCAGCAAACATTTTATCTCCGATGCGAATATTTGCAGACGATGCTAAAATATGGAGAGCATTTTGCTCAGCATCCGACCGTGTCTACCTCCAGGAAGATCTGACTCGGATTAACGAATGGGCAGAAAGGAACCAGCTCCCACTGAACCCTGCAGAGTGCCACCTGCTGACGGTACGCAGCAGCTTCGTCAACACACCTTTTGGGCAACACGTGACTAGTGAACGCGACTTAGGTATAATCGTGCAAGAGAGTCTTGGAAATTCGCTCCAATGTTCGAAAGCAGCAAGTGTGGTGAACTTGAACTTGAGACTTTTGAGGCGAGCTCTCGGCACCTTTGAGCGACGGCTAGTACCATTGCTGATTAACTCCTACATTCGCTCTCACGTTGAATATGTAATTCAGGCCTGGTGTCCATGGTTAAAACGAGACATTCGCCTATTGGAACAGCCCCAAAGAAGAGCCACAAAGGCAACGCGTGGACTATCCGGTCTAAGTTACGAACTGCGTCTTCGTGTACTCGGTGTGTTCTCCTTAGAATACCGACGGCTTCGCGGAGATCTTACTCTCACATACCGGATACTAATTGAAAACGAACATCCATGTACATCACTGTTGACTCTAGCCCCTTACAAACAAAGCCGAGGCAACCACCTGAAACTAATGACGCAACACTCCCGTCTGAATTGTAGAAAGTATTTTTACTCACTTAGAATCTGTTCTCACTGGAATGCATTATCAAGATATGTGGTGAACGCACCAGACATGACGACATTCGAAAGACACTTAGACTTTCATCTTAGTGATAAACGTTACACAACCGTTTGATAAAGTGCAATGGTTTAACCACTGATACTTCACGTTCCACGTTGGAACATTTTGATTTTAATTTTCTTTTGCATATCCATCCTGTGGGTCTTGTAAAGTTATGCTTTTTATCCCATCATACACTATTGTACATATTGCACCGTTAGTTTCAGTATCTTCGGGCCACTGCCTCTGTAGTTTGGTGACGAGGGTAACCGTGTAATCGAC